ATACTCAAGCAGCTGGCCTCTGGGGTAGCAGCCCCGGGTGTGAGAGGCAGGACCCAGAATCTAGGCCAAGCCTCCACAGGAATCCCCTCTGGAGAGCCCGGGCACTCTGCAGGAGGGGCAGCAGGCAGCAGGTGCACCAGGAGCACATTTCACAAGGTGCCCAATATTGCATCTCCTCAGATGGGCAGCGAGTTGGAAAGTGGATGCAGTAGGCAGGGTGGCGGCTGCTCCCCACGGCCAGGAGTCCAGCCCAGCACCACCTGAGTCCGCCTCAGTCCTGCTCAATTGGGTAATCCATGTTCTGGGCCCTCTGGTTCCACCCACAGAGGGAGGGCTTTGGGGCGACCAGGTGAGCTGGCCCTTGTTGGAGGATGTAACCGACTCCTGAGCCTGGCGAGCCAGGAAGCCCCTCGCCAGCATCCCCAACCCCACCTCTCCAGCCCCCTCATTCCCTGATCCTCCCATCCGCTCCCCTGCCCCAGCAGTTTCCTCTGCTCACGCTCATCTCTTTTCCTGCTCCCAGGCTCGCCTGGTCAGTGTCCTTCACTCTCCTCTGAGTCTCCCTCTTTCCAAGCCGCCTCCACTCTACTTAACACATTCTCCATTAAGACACCAGAGTACACAAGCTCAAGTCCCTGCACCTCACCTTTACTCCCAGACATGGGAGGGAGATGACACGAAGTCCCAAACGCCACTTGGCAAGAGTTTTGGGGTATGCAGAGGGGCAGATCTGAGGCTGTGGAAGCTCCAGGAGCTCCCTGCAGGAGGCTGCATTTCAGCTGGCTATTGAATGTGGCTCTATGGAAATGTGGCTCTGAGCTGAGACTCCTTTGGAAGTGCTCCAGACCAGGAGAGCCACCTGCCAGCTGGATTCTCCATTTGGTGTCTCCCAGAAACTTTAGACTCTGTGGCTCAACTTGAATCCCAGAAAAGTTTCCTATCTCTGGTCCTGTCTTTCTAGGGAAAGCCCATGACCCGCTGTGCACCAAACGCACATTTGAGTCAGGGTTCCTGCCCCCGCACTGTAAGCGCTCTGGATAAGCCAGTGCCGAGGGGGAAAGAGCTCTGAATGTCAAACCATGAGTTTCAATTCCACCTCCAGCTCTGAGAGCTGTGGGCAGGAAGGGCCCTAGTCCAGTGGGCTGCAGAAAGACCAGTCTGCTACTGTATGGCACATGGATGGCGGGGCAGAGGCGGGTGGAGAGAACAGAAGGTGGACAGGGCAGGAGGCAGGACATGCAGCTGTAGCTGTGGAGATGGGAGGACAGACAGACTGGTGGCCACTGAATGAACTAAGGAGGAGTCTGGAAGAGACACCCAGTTTTGTATCAGATGTGGAGCATGGGCTGCTGTTCATTGATCGGGAGGGAGGAGGAGGAGGAGGAAGAGGTGTGGCATGGAGGAGGTAACTGGGCTCTGGCTGCGAATGTCATTGAGGTTCCCAGGGAGAGCGAGGCCTGCCAGTGCCTTCACTGCTCAGCCAGCCCCTCGGGTGGGCCAGCCCCTGACCCTCTCAGTTCCGACTTTGTAGCTATCAGCTGCAGTGTAGAGCAGCTGCTCAAGGGTCCAGCATGTCTGTGTGTTTAGCCAGGGGACTGCGGAATGGCCCATGCAGAACAGAAGCTGATGGATGAATCTCTGAACGAAACCTGTTACAACAACCTGATCCGCCCAGCCACCAGCTCCTCACAGCTCATCTCCATCGAGACGAGCTCTCCTGGCCCATGCATCAGTTGGTAGGTGCAGAGGACACCTGTGGCTCAGGCTCAGGTGAAGAGGCACGGCCCAAGCCCCAGGCAATCAGTGTCCAGAGGAATGAAATGACTAGAGTTGACTTAGACTCACCAATGCATGGCGGGAGGCTGAGGAGGGTCCATGAGGTTTTGAGTAGGTGTCCAATATTTAATGCGGTCATGGTTTTGTTAAAGGAAACGAGGTGGGAGCAGGATCACCACTGGCCAGGCAGCCAATGGCCTGGGCATAGGCTCTGCCCGCTGAGTCTCCAGCACGACCTCATGCTTCTCCTCTCATCCTCCCAGCCTCGCCTCTACTCTCTCCCAGCTTGCTCTGTGCAGGTGACTCACAGGCTCCCTACTTGTTGGGGGTAATAAGAACCAGACTGGGGAACTGGATGGGTACAGAGGCCCAGGTGCAGGGGCAGGACTCCCAGGCAGTGCAGCCTACTGAGCCAGGAGGGTGAGGGTCTGGAGAGGCATGGTGGCTGCTGCAGGCATGGAAAGGATGGTGGCGGCACTCCCAGGACCACCGTCAGGCCCCCAAGTGGATGTGTGCAGAGGTGGTGCTGAGGGAGGAGGTGCAGGAATTTCCTCAGCTTCTCCACTGCCTCTGAGTTGGGAGATGCCAGAGGAGCCAGGCCCCTCTGTGTAAACTAACACAATGTCCCCACCCACAGGGTTAGAACCCTCACGTGGTGCTGCCTGAGGGGAGCAGTCACATGTGAGAGGTGCAGGGCGCTGTGTCCAGCCAGGGGAAGGAGGTCACCAAGGGGTTTGACCCTCCGCCACAGGTGGCTGTCTTCTGACACAGCAGCCTCTCTCTCTAGCACGGTGGCCCCCACACACCCAGCCTGTCAAACCTACAGCCTCAAGAAGGCCGGCCAGATTAATGAACAGCTCCCTCTCCTAGGAGGAAGCACAGCTGAAGGATGAGGAGTGCAGTAGAGTTGTGTATGCTCCACCTCCCAACCCTCCACATGAGACCTGGAAAGAAGGGGACTTTCAGCCAGGCTCTCCCAGGCTGGGGTCTGAGTGTCACTCAGCCATTGGGGCCTCTTGCTTAACGGGTGAGCCCAGTTGCTCCTGTACAGCTGCCACCCTAGTGAGGGTGAAATCCAGCAGGCTAGCACATTTACAGTTTGGGGATACAGGAAAGATTAGCTGTAATGTTTCAGGAAGGGGGTGTTTATTTTCAGGTTTATCTACTGACTTGACGAGGAGGCTACAGGCAACCAATTTAAAGATGGCAATTTTGAGAGAGCAGACAGGGACTTAGTGCTGGGTAAGGGCAAGCAGGTTTGTCAAAGCAGCTCTTTTGGGAGATCAGAATCCTTGTACTCAATAAGTCACAGCAGGTTCATCAGCTGTTGGGAGTGCTAGATATACACAGGGAGAACTTTCTGGATGATAGGAAACGTTCCCCATATCTCTCAAAGGAGGTGGATACATGGGTAATGCATTTGTTGAAATTCATCAAAATATACCAGATCTGTGCATTTCACTGAAGACAAATTAACCTCAAATTAAAAACATTTTTTAAAAGAGAGATGGGCCGGACGCGAGTGGCTCACTGCATCCCAGCACTTTGGGAGGCCAAGGCGTGCAGATCACCTGAGCCAGGAGCCTTGAGACCAGCCTGGAAAACATGGTTCAATCCTGTCTCTATTAAAAATACAAAAATTAGCCAGGCATGGGGACACAGGCCTGTAGTCCCAGCTACTCGGGAGACTGAGGCAGGAGAATTGCTTGAACCCAGTAGGCGGAGGTTACAGTGAGCAGAGATCACAACAGTGTACTGGAACCTGGAAAACAGAACGAGACTCCATCTCAAAAGAAAAAAAGGCCGGGCTCGGTGGAAGTTCAAGCCTGTAATCCCAGCACTTTGGGAGGCCGAGACGGGCGGATCACGAGGTCAAGAGATCGAGACCATCCTGGATAATACGGTGAAACCCCGTCTCTACTAAAAAATACAAAAAACCTAGCCGGGCAAGGTGGCGGGCGCCTGTAGTCCCAGCTACTTGGGAGGCTGAGGCTGGAGAATGGCGTAAGCCCGGGAGGCGGAGCTTGCAGAGCTGAGATCCGCCACTGCACTCCAGCCTGGACTACAGAGCGAGACTCCGTCTCAAAAAAAAAAAGGAAAAAAAAAAAAAAGACAGATGAAGGTTTTCAACTTACCAAAGGCAGAGTAGCTTGTTATAGATTAGCCTCTCCCACAAAAGCAGTTAGAGAAACTGACAAAATGTGCCCCCCCCACCAAAAACAACTGTTTGAAGGTAACTGAGACCTCGTGACTCTGAGTGACTAGGCCAAGGAGGTGTCCCTGACAGTCTGTAGTGCTTTTCCGACATTTGGTGATTGGTTAACAGTAGAGGGCTAAGAGGTTAAGAAACTGGAGTCTGAAGTGGTGGTTAAGAGGCTGGAGAGCTCTTAGCTGAATGTTTGGCATTCACAGGGCTGAAATGACCTAATGAGAATTTGGGTCCCAGTAAGGAGATGGGACCTTGGTGGGAACCCTGGAAGGGTCACCCCTAGGAGTCCAAATGAATAAAAAATAGACCAGCCGTCACAAAAACTAAAGCCTGCTTTGAAACAGCTTAATCCCAAACTAGATGAAGGTGATCTGCCCTTACTCCAATTGTGTGCCATAAAGTCAAAGTCAATACTCTCTGGAGGCAGATAAAAGTTTACTAGGAACGCCATAAGAAAAGACAAGACTAAATGAGAAAGAACAAGAAAAAAAAACAAGAGAAACATACAAGAAAAAAACCAATAGAAACATACAAGAAAACAACCAATAGAAACATACATGTAAGGAAGATAAGGAAGAAACTTTTTTTTTGTTATTTTGTTTTTCTTTTTTTTTTTTGGAGGAGGAGCCGCTCTGTCACCCAGGCTGGAGTGCAGTGGCACGATCTCAGCTCACTGCAACCTCTGCCTCCCAGGTTCGAGCGATTCTCCTGCCTCAGCCTCCCAAATAGCTGGGATTACAGGCATGCGCCACCATGCCCGGCTAATTTTTGTATTGGCCAGGCTGGTCTGGAACTCCTGACCTCAGATGGTCCATTTTCCTCAGTCTCCAAAATTGGTGGGATTACAGGCATGAACCACCGCGCCTGACCAGTATTTTGCCACAATTTAAAATAATTTTTTTTTTTTTTTTTCAAGTTTGGGCTCAGACTATATTCTAAACAGTCACATGGCGGCTGACTCTTCTCCAGGCCTTGCTGCCGGCTTTACATGTTTATTGTTTTTGCCTTCTTGCCTCTACGTGCCGTAGATGGCAGCTTCCAGGTGCTCCTAAGGGGCTAGAAAAGAGAGTGAGAAGGCACGGAGTTGCCAGGTCGTCCCTTTGGGTCCCACCCTCATCAACTCCCAACTGGGTCTCCTAACTATTCGGGGCCACCTCGGCCACCGCTTGCCCTGAGCTTCCTGCTGCTGCAGCTGGGCAGAGCCCCTTCCTCAGAGGCCAGCTGATAGGCGGCCACGTACTGCTGCAGGGACCCAGGGAATGGTCTGGCTGCTGCTGCAGACTCGAGGTACATTGGCTCTCAGCTCCACCTGCAGGATAGGCGTCAGGTAGGGCAGGTGGCTGGCCTGGGGATTCTGGGCCTACAAACAGGGTGGCGAGGGCACAGTGGGGCCGTGTTATCTGCTACACCTGGCCCCTGGCCCCTTCCTCCAGGCCTAAGTGACTGCCTCCCTTGCCTAGAGGCCCATGCCTCCCTCCCCAGCCTCAAATCTCACACCCTTCTTTCCACCATTGAAGCTGTAGGCCACAGACTGGTGGAAAAGCAGAGGGAGCCAACCACCATCTGCTAAGTTGTGTGAGGCTGTTTGCATGATCCTGTTTGCACCCACCTCCGCCTGCTCCCCCAAAGCTCGGCCTTCCGCCCCAGCTCCCCAGCCTCCTCCAGCTCCTGCAGCCTCACCTCCTGCTTCTGCATCTTCTCCTCCAGCTGCCACAGCCTCCATTTCCCCTGCTCCCGTGATCTTCTCCTCCTGCCTCCTGAGATCTTCTCCTGCTCACGTATCTTGCTCCTTCTCCATATCATCTTCTCCTTCTCCCACAGCTTCTCCTCCTGCTCACACATCTTCTTCTCCTGCTCTCACAGTATATCCTCCTTCTCCCCAACTTCTCCTCCTGGCTTACACAGCATATCCTCCTTCTCCCCCAGCCTCCTCCCTCTTGCTCACATCTTCCCTCCTGCTTCCACATCATCTCATCCTGCTCATAAGACATTCCTTCTGCTCCCCAAAGATCTTCTCCTCCTGCCTCCACATCTTCTCTTCTTGCTCCTGCCTCTTCTTCTCCAGCCCCGTATCTTTCCTCCTGCTTGTGCATCTTCTCCTCCTGCTCCCGTATCTTCTCCTTCTGCTCATGCATCTTCTCCGCCTGCTCCCGTATCTCTCCTCCTGATTGTGCACTTTCTCCTCCTGCTCCCTTATCTTCTCCTTCTGCTCATGCATATTCTCCACCTGCTCCCGGATCTTCTCCTCCTGATTGTGCATCTTCCTCCGCCTGCTCCCGTATTCTCCCTCCTGATTGTGCATCTTCTCCTCCTGCTCCTGCATCTTCTCCTCCTGATTGTGCATCTTCTCCCTCCCTGCCTCCCCTTATCTTCTCCCTCCTGCTCCCGTATTCTCTCCTTCTGCTCATGCATCTTCTCCGCCTCTGCTCCCAGATCTTCCTCCTGATTGTGCATCTTCTCCTGCTCCCTTCTTTATCTTCTCCTTCTGCTCATGCACATATTCTCCACCTGCTCCCGTATTCTCTCCTCCTGATTGTGCATCTTCCGCCTGCTCCCGTATCTTTCCTCCTCCTGATTGTGCATCTCTCCTCCTGCTCCCCGTGATCTCTCCTCCTGACGATCTTCTCCTCCTGCTCCCTTATCTTCTCCTCCTGATTGTGCATCTTCTCCGCCTGCTCCCGTATCTTCTCCTCCTGATTGTGCATCTTCTCCGCCTGCTCCCGTATCTTCTCCTCCTGATTGTGCATCTCTCCTCCTGCTCCCTTTATCTTCCTCCTGCTCGTGTATCTTCTCTTGCTGCCTCCACATCTTCTCTTCCTGTTGCTGGTACAGGCGGTTCCACAACTTGTTCTCTTCCACTTGGCCTGGAGCCGCTGACACACTCTGGAAGCTCCTTACCCAGTGGTCAGCTCTCCCCAGCTGCTGCTGGAATAGTGAAAGTGTTGGTTTGAACTCCCAGAAGGAAACAGACTCATGGGATAGTCATCTAAATGTAATCTATCAAACAAATGGTTTTCACCCATGATCCTTTAAAAATATATATTTCTAAGCCCTAACTCTGAGATTCCGATTCAGGCAGGGCCCTACTTTTGTAGATTTTTAGTACACTCTAGAGGATTCTATGGCGGGACCAGAACAAGGACCCAAATCTTTCTAGCTCGTGACTGAGCCTCCCATACCCTGCATGATCCCTAGACCATGGTCCCAGCCGGACGGGATCCTACAACCCCGGGGCTGTAGCCGCTTGCCTGTGGCAGCAGGAGCTTGGCCTTCTCCAGCTTCCTTTCTAGCTCCTTTACATTGAGCTGGATCTCAGACTTCTCAGATTCTACAAGTCGAAGTTTTTCTTGTAGTTCGGCATTTTTCTCCTTCAGCTCATCATCGGTTATGCTACCACTCAGAGGCAGTAGATAAAGGAATGAACGAAGAACAGAAAGGACTGCTTTGGTGATCAACCCTCTGCTTTCACCCCACAACCACAGAACCGTGGCATTGGATGGGACCCCAGGAATTTAAAGCCCCAGGTGGCAGGCCAGAGAGAAGACATGAGTTGCCTGAGGCTACCCCATGAGTCAGTGGCACAGCTGCACTAGAGCTTCCTGTGCACACATGAAACCTGTATGAGCCTCACCATGCTCACCTGTACCCCCACCTCCTGTGCACACCCCCCACGCGAAGAGCCCCCAGACCTCCCATCCCACCGTCCCCCATCCTACGTGTTCCCTGTACAGCCTCCAGACTCAGGGCGTCCCTCTCCTTTGTTAACTCCCTCGATGTACTGCAAACAGAGAAAGGTGAAGTCAGATAGAGCAGGCAGAGGAGCTGCCAATGCACCAGGAACAGCCACCGTGACCACTCCACACACCACTCCCCACTCCCAGTCACACCTGACATGCTCTCAAGGCACTTCCAAGCCCAGGATCTCCCTTTGGTTTTTTGTTTTGTTTTGTTTCTTTCTTTCTACTTTTTCTTTTCTTCAGGCAGAGTTTGACTCTTGTTGCCCTGACTGGAGTGCAATGGCGCAATCTCAGCTCACCACAACCTCCGCCTCAGCCTCCCGAAATAGCTGGGATTATAGGCATGTGCCACCACACCGCTAATTTTGTATTTGAGTAGAGATGGGGTTTCTCCATGTCCGTCAGTCTAGTCTTGAACTCCCAACCTCAGGTGATCCGCCAGCCTCGGCCTCCCAAAGTGCTGGCATTACAGGCATGAGGCAGAGCACTGGGCCCTCATTTGTTTTTCAAAGAACTCAGTAAAGGTGGAAGGGACAGGAAAGAAAACTGAATTCATAGCTGGCTAGCAGGGCCCCGAGACATCAGATGGTATTGCTATTGTTCTTACTGTTACTACTACCACTGTTGGAACCTTTACTGACTGCTTCACCAGGCACTGCACTAACAATCCGATTTAATCCTCACAACCTCCATAGGAGACGGTTGGCCATTATTACCTCTGTCGTATAGATGAAAACATGGGTGGCTGAGGTTAAGTGCTTGCCTTAAGATCACGAGCTGGGTTTTCAACACCCAGGTATGTCTGATTCTCTAAGCCCATTCTTTCACTGGGGGTAGGGGCAAAGATAAGAAGGAGGAAATTAATCATTTGTTGACATTTTGAAAGGATGATACATTCGAATCGTCCAAACTCAAAGTACAGAAGGGAACATCTCCCCAACACTGTTCCTCTCTCCTGAGATGTTTATGAATCCTTACAAACCTGCTTTATTGTATATTCCTACAATACACACACACACACACACACACACACACACAATTACCACAGGCTCTCTCTCAACACAAATAATAACATACTCAAGCTACTCTTCTGTACCTTGATGGTATAAGTATCCTAACTGCCACTTGGGACTTGGCACAAGGGGCCACAGTCAAATATGGGCAGGCGGGCACTTGGCTCATGAGCTCTATGTCCAGTGCTCACTCCCACGGCGCTCCCCAGCTCACCCACAGCAGCCGACTAGCCCCCGTCAGCCTCTAACCACCACACACAGAAAAGCAGCAAGAAATGGCCATGTTGCATCTCTGGGCAGGACACTCCATCCTGCAGAAGGGACTTTTTAGGCTCACTCCTCCATCTGTGAAGCCGGGTTCAGGGGACGGCAGGTGGTTGGACTCACCCTGTCAGCCTTCTTCTTCTGTGTAGCAACAGCAGAGAGATCCCGCTCTAAATCTCTTGCAAAGTTCCATGAATCATGCAGGCGGCTGACCAGATGCCTGGACTCTCCTGGAATGACAGACATTCAGATGCGGCCCAAAGGATTCCCCCTAAAGGCCTGTGAAAGTGCCAGGTTGAAGGATGACCGGGTGCCAGATTCCCACCTTCCAACTGCTGGACAGCACACTGGCTGTAGCTAGAGTGCCGCCTGGAAGCCTGGTTTTCTCACATGTAAGGATTCGTATGGTATGAACCTGGGCCTTTGGGAGAAAAGATACAAGTGCTGAAAGAGTAGCTGCAAAGAAACCTTCTCCAGAGGACAGGTGAGAGAACCCCCACCTTCCACTCACCTCTAGCTCCCTCCTTAGGGCTTCCTGATGTTGGTGGCTTGCCTTCTTTTCCTATAGAAAGAGGAAGACAGAGCTCTTACTAGGGGAGGAGATGGCACAGCAAGAGATGCCTCAGAACGGCACCACTGCCTCAGGACAGGCCCCACCCATGGACCAGGTTATCAGGACCCTGTGTGGACGGGGTGGGATCCGGGTGAGCCTTCTTCCCAGGCTGGGAGGCAAGATGAGACTGGGGCCTCTACGGCTGAGTGCCTCCAAACCCAGTAGTCATGTGAGCAAACAATCATTTACTACTTCCAGCTGGGCTCATGGTTCTGTTTCTGTGGGGAGAGTCAAAGGAAGTGACTTGAGGGTGGCTCCTTCAACTCATTCCCAGGCCAGGAAGCGGTAGGCAGGGCCAGGGATGGATTTTAGGGCTGCAGTTCTGAGACCCAATGGGAACACGAATCCAAATCCTCTCACCCAAAGTAAAAGGACTTGGGTCTTTGTTGGGTTTTGGCCACAATAACAGAACTCAAAAAGCCTGAAAACTAGATTCTCTCAAAAAGACAGTCACAGAAACCTTCAGAGATGGAGTGTGAGAAGAGCCCACCCTTCTGCCAGCTTGTGATTTAGAAAGGTGCATTCATTCAACAAACATTGAGTGAGCAATACACGGGCCAGGGACGGTTCTTCACAGCGCGGATATAGGACGGAAAAGGCAGATAGGAACCCTTGGTCCCGAGGTTTCCATTCTAGTGGGCCTTTAACTCTCGGCTCAGAGCTAACAGACAACTCTGATACTCTATCCCCACTCTCAGGAAACGTGCCTGGTGAAGGAGAGTTTAAGGCAGGCCGTGGACTAGGGATTAACATAAAAACAACAATGATAAATCTCATGTAAACTTCATCAAATGTAGGTAAAACCACAATACTCCTATTTGCAGATGGAAAAGGAGAGGCTAAAGAGCTCCAGGAATTTGTCCCATATCAGTATGCCCAGCAGATGGAGGATTCAAACCTGAATTTTACAGTACCTGGGAGTTCTTCCACAATCTTAACAATTACCCTCCACCACCCCTTGGGCTCCTCTGTCCCAGGAGTCTGGGCCAGCCAAGATCACATCCTCGTAGGAGTGGCAACCACCAGAAGTGGGCTTGTCCCAGGGTTAGCACCATTATTGATGCCTTCAGGTCCTGCTCCTGTACCAACACCAGGGTTGGCCTGGGGATGGTAGTCTCTCAACTGTGGAAAGGAAGAGCAGTGATACTCATGAGAACTATAAACCTCCAGTCACATCCTGCTTTACAGCTTATACAAATAGTCTGCATCATCTGATTTAATGCCACCAACAACTGTAGGAAGTCAACTACTTAGTGACTGAGAGGGATTGATACCATGGCTGAACAGAAGGCAATAATGGAACTAAACTCAGTCTTCTGACTCTGAGCTCTGGATTTTTGCTGCCAAATCAGCAGCTGCCAGGGACCAAAACCAGAGGCAAAGGCAGAAAAGCAAACACGACGAGGCAGGAGCTGTACACCGTGTGGTTTAGAGTCATACACCCTCACACGTCTGTTAGTGTGAAGAAGTGCACCACTACCTCTCAAACTTTTATATTAATGTATGCTCATGGCAGAAGGCTGCCTTTCTGTGAAATCTGGGAACGTAACACAAAGAGGACAACTCCAACCTCATTTCAGAGAGAAGTCTTGTATATTCTGCGACCTGTGTGACAATACCTCTAAGTACATTTAATGTTTTGTCTCTCAGTAGACTCAAAGGAAACTGATGCTTCAGAAAGATGCCCTATTTATCCTGGCACTCGAAGTGACTGTGAGATGATGAGGAAGATTCAAGCTGTCAAGTTCAGTTTCCCAAGATCTGTTCCACAGAAGATAGGCAGATCTCACTCCAGCAAGCACTGAGTGAGGGCACTGTCCCAGAACAATGCAGAATTCAAATCTTGTGAGAACTCAGAAAGAATGCTTGAGTTCCTTCTGTGGAGAGAGAACAGGAGAAATCAAACGAAACCCCATTCTCCTTGCTGCCACCCAGAACACTGTCAATGTGTTGAGCTCATGGGGGAGGTGTAGGTTTTTCACACTGTCAACGTCTGTGTTAAGGAAGTAAGGCAGCCTGAAACCTCTCTAGGTCCCACAGTCCCCGGTCCTCTTCCAGCTGGAAACCTGTGCTACAGCCAGAGAACCAGAAATGGGCAAGAACACTAGGACTTGTCTCAAGATCAGGAAGATCGTGGTGGGTTCGTGGCAGTAATGACAGTTCCTAGAGGACTGCGACATCACTACATTCCACTCCTCGTGGAGTGGGTGGGGGACAAGAGTGCAATGCCCAAGTTGCCGCTTGAGATAGGGGAGGGGGTCACAGGATTGGGACTCCAGGTCCTTGGAGATGCAAGCCCAAAGAGCCCAGGAGGTCAGGCTTTGGGTGGCGGGAGTGAGCTCTCGAGTATGGAGCAGGGAGCCCCAGGAGTCACCTGTCCAAAGTGACCATGGGGCAACTGCTGAGGGCAGGTTCTGGGGCACCCAGGCTTTTGGAGATGTGAGCCCAAAGAGCCCAAGGAGGTCGGGTTTGGGGTAGCAGGAGGTAAGGGCAGAGTATGGAGTGGGAAGCCCTGGGAGTCACCAGCTCAAAGTCACCCTGGGGTGACTGGTGAGGACAGGGGCAGGACTCACGAGGGGGTTGGGCTGGCTCACAAGATTTTGGTGTGGGGAGCCCAGGGGCACTGGGGGGTTCCCAGCCTGGTGTGCCTCAGCAGTGGCACAGACTCTGGCAGCAGCTTGACTGTCAGAGGGCGCCTGGGGCTGGGTTGGGGTGCCGCAACCTGGTGCGTTTTACCTTTTCCTTGGCCTTGGCCAATTTGATCGCTCGGGTTTCTTCGGACATCATGGGATGGGTAGGGCGGTGGGGTTGGGGCCACATCAGCACAATCCAGGCGAGGACAACTATACACCTCCAGTCACCTACCAGGTAGCTGTGTGACTGAGCCAGAAGAGGCGTAACCAGGGCCACACTAGAATGCAGAATAGGGGCGTGGCCTTAATGCATCAAGCCTATTGGTCAATGAGAAAGATGCAAGGGAAAGGAGGCGTGGCCAGACAGCAGCCTGTCCTGAAGAACCTGTGATGTCACAAGGTAAGCCGCCATGGAACCGCTGTCCCCGCCCACTCCAGGAGAGGGGCGGGGCTGGCTTTCACTTTAAAAACTTTAAAGCTGTATTACCTCAATTGAGGTACAAATCCTATTAAAATGGAAATTTTGTAGTGTGCTTGATGATTGATAAAGCAGACTATATTATCCAACATTCCACTAAGATAAATAATCACAATGATTTCTCTTTTTTGGAAAACTTTCTCTTATTCTCCTACATTATTGTTAAGGGTTTTTTATTTTTCTAAAAATACAAAACAAAAAAACAAACAAAAAACAAGAAACATGTCTAACATCCTTAAAAACATAAAGCTTGTGAGCCAGGTGTGGTGTAATCCCAGCACTTTGGGATGCTGGGGTGGGTGGCTCACCTGAGTTCAGGAGTTCAAAACCAGCTTGGCTAATATGATGAAACCCTGTCTCCATTACAAATACAAAGCTAGCTGGGCATGGTGGCAGCTGTCTGTAATCCCAGCTACTTGGGGGGCTGAGGCAGGAGAATCCCTTGAACCTGGGAGGCGGAGTTTGCAGTGAGCCAAAATCATGCCACTGCACTTCAGCCTGGGCTACAGAACAAGACTCTGTCTCTGAATACATACATACATACACACACACACACACACACACACACACACGGAAAGCTTTCCATTTAATAAGCACTCAAAGTTCTTTACAAGTTTAAAACAAATACAGGACCCTCTAACGTAAGGCTAAATGCTAAGTGATGGGGGAGAGAAAAAGGACATGAATAACTCCTACTCTCATGAGGTTAATCACTAAATCCTATTTTTCTAGAATCACCTGGCCTCTCTAATCCCTGAAAATGAAGCTGAATTTCTCACTTGATACTTGGCTATGACTTGCAATCATGAAAACCAAGAATTGTGTTCTGTCACTGTGTAGTGCTTGTTACCTGGGATCAAGGAATGACTTTTTCATGATTTGCTCCATTACCTGTGTGCTCCTTATCCCAGACCAAATTAAGCTTTTTTCTAAAGTTCTACAATTTACAGTTAGTATATAAGAGTGCTTCTGAAAACTATAGTCTCTGAACCAGGAGCACCTGGGAATGTCTTATAGATGTAAATTCTCAGGCCCCTCCCTAGACTTGAGGAATCAGAAACTCTGGAGGAGGGCCCAGCAATGCGTGCTACAATAAGCCCTCCAGATGTTCAGGAACCGCTGGCATACAGCAGGTAGAAAAATGTGCTTCCTTCTGTAGGTCCAAAGCCAGGGATACTATATGATCTGTCTCGATACGAAGCAATGACACGCAATTAAAAGACATAAATCTCCTTCCTACTTCCACCCTCCAGCCAATGTGTTTTATTTTTACGAGTTCAAATAGAAAGTGAATGGCAATGAGAGATTTCGTCTAAAAAGTATGTTTACAAGTATCAGTTCTCATCCAGCCTGATCTCATCTAGTACCATTTATATCCTCTTATATGTAATATTGTAGAAAAGGATCTTCACAATGTAAGACTCGGGCACACTAGGAGTTCTATGATAAAAGACCAACTAGATCTGAATGTCCAAACTTACTAGAGAAGAAAAGTGGAATCACTCGATCTCCTGACCTCGTCCTCTGCCCGCCTTGGCCTCCCAAAGTGCTGGGATTACAAGCATGAGCCACGGCGCCTGGCCTTATTTTGTTTCGAGGAGTGCCTTTTGGTAAGGGTGCCCAGGAGGAGGATGACTGTGGAGATGGGCAGGTGCCTTCCCTGCTGTGCAACTGGCTGACGTCCTGGCCCGGGGCTCTGCCCAGGACTGCCGTGTGCCCTTTTTGCAATTCCCTTGGCGGTGGGTGAGCCCAGTTCTCTCCACCAGCTGAGGCCCAGGCTGCACTGGTGCTGGCCAGAGAGAACGGAGTTAGCGGCCCGGGACCTGCGGCCATCCACAGCAGGAGTCAGAGCCTGACTTTCCCGTCTGGGGAGTGAGACGGTGGATCTCGTGGTGTTCAAGGATTCATCCAGCTCTGTTTTCCTGGACCCAGGGTTTGTCCCAAGACCTGTGTCTGATGCCCTGGGCTCCAGCCTCTCTATCCAAGGGAGCAGGGCCGAACAGAGGTCGGCCTCCACATTCCTGGCTTTTCATCCCCATCCTGAGCTGCCTGTCTCTGGCTTCCCCATCAGGGCTGGTGCCCCTTGAGGAGAAGCCTCCCAGAGAAAGAGTTGGCCAAAAGGGGTGTTTATGTGTGACTTGGAAGGCAGAAGGAAAGAGACAGCAGTTGCTGTCTGGAGGCGGCCGTGGCTGTCCAGCGTCACTGGCCAGGTCGAGGTCCATTGTGCCTGTGCGCAGCAAATCTATCACTGTGACACGGGTTTTGCAAAAGAAAAAAGATAGATTCCCAAGACCGCCAAGTGAGGAGGTGGGAAAACAGCGCTCAAATCCTTATCTCCCTGGAGATAAGGCTGAAGGCTGTTTCTAGGTTAGGGAAGTGTGATGGTCTAAAATGTGGGGGGAGGTGATTGGCAGTGGGGAAAAATGAAGAAACAGATTCATTTTGTGCAAGTGTTATCAGGCAGCTGGCCGAACTCGGTGGCTCATGCCTGTAATCCCAAAACTTTGGGAGGCAAAGGCGGGCAGATCACCTGAGGTCAGGAGTGTGAGACCAGCCTGGCCAACATGGTGAGACCCCGTCTCTATTAAAAATACAAAAATTAGGCTGGACACGATGGCTCATGCCTGTAATCCCAGCACTTTGGGAGGCCGAGGCAGGTGGATCAGGAGGTCAGGAGATCGAGACCATCCTGGCTAAAACAGTGAAACCCCATCTCTACTAAAAAAAAAAAAAAAAAAAAAAAAAAAAAAAAAAAAATACAAAAAATTAGCCAGGCATGGTGGTGGGCACCTATAGTCCCAGCTACTCAGGAAGCTGAGGCAGGAGAATGGTGTGAACTCCACGAGGCGGAGCTTGCAGTGAGCTGGAGATCGCACCACTGCACTCCAGCCTGGGTGGATGAGCGAGACTCTGCCCTGAAAAAAAAAAAAAAAAAAAAAAAAAATACAAAAATTAGCTGGGTGTGGTGGTGCGCACCTGTAATCCCAGCTACTCGGGAGGCTGAGGTGGGAGAAGTGCTGGAACTCAGGCGGCAGAGGTTGCAGTGAGCTGAGATAGTGCCACTGCACTGCAGGCTGGGCGACCGAGCCAGACTGTCCAAAAAAAACCAAAAAGCCTGGGTGCGGTGGCTCATGCCTGTAATCTCAGCACTTTGGGAGGCCAAGGCAGGCTGATCACCTGAGGTTGGGAGTTCGAGACCAGCCTGACCAACATGGAGAAACCCCATCCCTACTAAAAATACAAAATTAGCCAGGCGTGGTGGTGCATGACTGTAATCCCAGCTAGTTGGGAGGCTGAGGCAGGAGAATCGCTTGAACCCAGGAGGCGGAGGTTGCGGTGAGCTGAGTCACACCATTGCGCTCCAGCCTGGGCAACAAGAGCCAAACTCCGTCTCAACCAACCAACCAACCGAACGAAAAACAAAACAAAAGAAAAAACACAGTGTAACAAGTTATTATAAAGTCACTGCTCAGGGACCAGCTTGCCCGTCCTGTGCCTTTAGAGGGAAGCTCCCGCCCACTGTTCTTCAGTTTTATATCTTAAGTACAGGAATCACCAAACTAGGCCTATGCACCACATCTGGCACCCAGCCTTTATTTATTTATTTTTTGAGATGGAGTCTCTCTCTGTCCCCCAGGTTGCAGTGGAGTGGCACTATCTCTGCTCACTGTAACCTCCGCCTCCTGGGTTCAAGCAATTCTCCTGACTCAGCCTCCCGAGTAGCTGGGATTACAGGTGCATGCCACCACGCCTAGCTAATTTTTGTATTTTTGGTAGAGATGGGCGTTGGCCTCTCTCAAAGTGCTGGGATTACAGGCATGAGCCATGATGCCTGACCCAGCCTTTTTGAAAATGAAGGTTTTGGCCAGCACGGTGGCTCCCGTCTGTAATCCCAGCACTTTGGGAGGCCAAGGCAGGCGGATAACCTGAGGTCAGGAGTTCAAACCCAGCCTGGGCAACAAGATGAAACCCTGTCTCTACCAAAACTACAAACATTAGCCAGGAGTGATGGCATGCACATGTAATGCCAGCTACTTGGGAGCCTGAGGCAGGAGAATCACTTGAACCCAGGAGGCAGAGGTCTCAGTGAGCCGAGATCACACGATTGCACTCCATCCAGCCTTGGCAACAAGAGCGAAACTCCATCCCAAAAAAATAAAAAATAAAAAATGATGTCCTTTTTTGCCTCTCAACCCTTGTTTATTGTTTTCATTTTGAGACAGGGTCTCACTCTGTTGCCCAGTTTGGAGTGCAGGAGCCTGATCTTAGCTCACTGCAGCCTCGACCTCCCCAGCTCACATGATCCTCCCCCCTCAGCCTTCCAAATAGCTGGGACCACAGGTGGGCACCACCATGCCCGCCTAATTTGTGCATTTTTTGTAGAAATGGGATTGTGTTATGTTGCCCAGGCTGATCTTGACTTCAGGGCTCAAGTAATCTCTCCACCTCCCGAAGTGCTGGGATTACAGGCGTGAGCCACCATGCCCAGCCCTGCTTTAAATTAAAGTGTATTTTACTTGGTATTAGTACAGCCACTTCAGCGGTTTTTTGCTTACTGTTTAAATGTTGTATCCTTTGACTTTCAAGCTGTTTGTTTTAATTTAAAATGTTTATCTTGCAGATAGCACATTGATGGATCATATTTTCTTTTTTAATCCTTTCAGCCAGTCGGCTTTTCTTTTTTTGTGAGACAGAGTTTGCTCGTCACCCAGGCTGGAGTGCAATGGTGCGATCTCAGCTCACTGCAACCTCTGAGTCCTGGGTTCAAGCCATTCTACAGCCTCAGCCTCCTGAGTAGTTGGGATTACAGGCACCTGAAACCATGCCTGGCTAATTTTCGTATTTTTAATAGAGACGGGGATTTCTTCATGTTGGTCAGGCTGGTCTTGAACTCCTGACCTCAGGTGATCCACCACCTCAGCCTCCCAAAGTGCTGAGATTACAGGCGTAAGCCACCGCACCCGGCCAAAGTGAATTTCTTTTTCTCAGAAAATCTATTCCATTCTTTTTCCAGAAACCATGTTTGTACAACTAAAATAAATATTTATACTCTAATTTTTTTGTTCTGAGGTCTTACTGAGTTTTAATAGAATTTCATCTTTACATGTTTAGAAAAATTAGAAAATACAGATAAAACATAACTAAGTAAATAATAACATCTTTTCCTTCTGTTCAAAGTTCATTACTATTAGCCGAGTGCAGGGGCTCACACTTGTAATCCCAGCATTTTGGGAGACAGAGGCGGACGGATCACTTGAGCCTAGGAGTTCGACACCAGCCTGGGCAACATGGCAAACCCCGGTCTCTCCAAAAAATACAAAAATTAGCTAGGCGTGGTTGCTTGTGCCTGCAGTCCTAGCTACTGGCAAGGCTGAGGTTGAGAACCACGTGAACCCAGTAAGTCAAGGCTGCAGTGGTGCAGCCTCTGTCCCCCAGGCTGGAGTGCAGTGGTGCAATCTCGGCTCACTGCAATCTCCGCCTCCCAGGTTCAAGCAATCCTCCTGCCTCAGCCTCCCAAGTAGCCGGGATTACAGGTGCACACCACCACACCAGGCTAATTTTTGTATTTTTAGTAGAAAGGAGGCCTCACCATGTTGGCCAGGCTGATCTTGAACTCCTGACCTCAAATAATCCACCTGCCTCGGCCTCCCAAAGTGCTGGGATTACAGGCGTGACCACCATGCCCTTTTTCCTTCTTAGAGGCAGGATGTCACTCTGTCGCCCAGGCTGGAGTGCAGTGGCATGATCTCAGCTCACTGTAGCATTGACCTCCCAGGCTGAGGCGATTCTCCTGCCTCAGCCTCCCGAGCAGCTGGGATCACAGGTGTGCACTACCACACCTGGCTAATTGTTAATTTTTTATTTTTTGGAGATGGGGTCTTGCCGTGTTGCCCAGTCTGGCAACATGGGATCCTCCAACTCCTGGCTTTGAGGGATCCTCCCACTTTGGCCTCCCAAAGCCCTGAAAATTACAGACGTGAGCCACCATGCCCAGCCTATATTGTTGCATATTTCTTCAATTGTGTTTTGTGGTCACTGGAGGTCTGTTCCTTCTTGGATTCCCTGCACAGTGCTTCCACAGCTGCTCCATGTAATCTGCCCACGACTTCTGCTGCATTCAGTTGAACACACAGGAGGAAACTTCACTCCCCAGCCAACCACACACAGATCCCTTCTCATCCCCAGGGCAGCTGCTCTGGCCACTCGACCCGCGCCCTGGATAGCTCCAGTTGCTGTGAGTGCGACCACCCGCCGCGTGATTAAGAGCGCTCCCGGCCGGGCAGTCTCCCCTGGGAGTAGGGGCGTGGGTAAGTGCGACGGAAATCCCGCCTTCCGGCGCCCGCGCTTGACCCCTGGCCTCAGAGGGCCAGCTCCAAGTAGGAAGATAAGCGGGATTGCGGGAAGCAGGAGAGCCAGGGGGGACGGCGAAGCGCTCGTCTTCACCATTGCCTGCGCCCGCAGAGCAGCCTCGTTGCGATTGGCCGTACGGGGAGGGGGGGGCGGCGCGGGAGTGTCGCCTCGCCCGCCACTAGGGCAGTTAGAGGCGCGGGGATCCGGGGCTGAGCCGGTGGCTGTGGGGAGGCTGTGTCCGGACGCCGGCGGGGCCACGCCGCCCGGCTCTGCTTGTCAGGTCCTGGCCTGGGGCACCGGGGCGGACGGCGGGGGAGGAGGTGCGGGCGCGGGGCTGGCGGGCGGCCGGGCCTGGGAGGCAGGGGTGGGCGCGGCGGCCGTACCGGGGCCTGCGCGGATAGCCCGCGGGGCAGTCTCGGGCCTCTCTCCATCTCTTAAGTGGTGGTGGCTGTGGGTTTTTCTGCAGGCGATCGTTTTGAGTAATTTGTTTCACGCACGCGCCCTGCTGTGGGGTAAATGCTGCTTTCATGTGTCCGTTAAAACGGTGGGTTTCCTGTCGTGTGTGTGTCCCTTTTGCATTTGAGGGCAGATGACATTGTGACTTGGCCTCCTGTGACCGTCCATTCTCAAGGTCTCGCCAGCCTGGTGCAGAAACCCGGCCCACCCTGCTTACCTTGGAAGGAGGCTTTCCCTTCCCCACCTCCCTTTCCCTCCATCTCTTCCCTGTTTCCCTCCCCTCACTCCTTCCCCCAGCTGTTCTCTCCCCTCTTGCTGTTCTCTCTCGCTCTCTCTTTTTTCTGCATTAAACATTTCGGGAGTCACTTTGTAAATTATTCAAAAGTGTTCGGTCTTAAACATGTGTGTTTACTTGCAGGCCTGAGAACCGGGAGGACGCTGGAGAAAAGCTGCCCTCTGAATCTTTGTTTGGCTGCCCAGGCTCGCCTTGACTCCAAATGGTTGAAAACATACACAGGTGGGGTTTGCCACGTCTTTTTCTTGGCGTGTTTCTGCTTCCATGTTTAGATTTCTCGTGTAAGGCTGTTTTTTTTTTAGGGCATAGAAGGGGAAGTTAGTTGTATCTTCCTCTGTTAGAGGAGCAGGTTTATTTCCTCCTATAACTTAAAATGTAGCAGTCTTGGCCGGGCGCGGGGGCTCACGCCTGTAATCCCAGCACTTTGGGAGGCCGAGGCGGGTGGATCACGAGGTGAGTAGATGGAGACCATGCTGGCTAACACGGTGAAACCCCGTCTCTACTAAAAATACAAAAAATTAGCCGGGTGTGGTGGCGGGCGCCTGTAGTCCCAGCTACTCGGGAGGCGGAGGCAGGAGAATGGCGTGAACACGGGAGGCGGCCGAGCTTGCCGTGAGCCGAGATCTCACCACTGCACTCCAGCCTGGGCGACAGAGCGAGACTCCGTCTAAAAAAAAAAAAGGGTAGCAGTCTTTATGGCTGTTTTTGTAGATTGTGCATAGGCTGCCTTTTAATTAGTTTCTTGCGAGTGCACTACCCTTGAGATCTATTAATAGGCAAAATGTTTTTCGTATTTATTATTACTGGATAAGAAATCTGCCACACTCCTAACCATGTCATGATGACAGTTATTTGTTACTGATAGTATTTGAGCTGTTTAGTTAAGTGTGGAGGGGAAAATTGGAGAAGTCAGTTGCAGTAATTATGGCCGAGAGAAACTCACTCATTTTATGAGGTCTTGTGTTTGTGTTTCTGGAGAGACAAGAGTGAGTTCAGTTGAGCTCTTTGTTTTGTATTTGTAACCAATACAAGGACTAAGGACAGTTGTGTTGAAACTGAGGTCATGATGTTAGGATCTTGAGGGCTGAAGGTTCCAAATCAATGGTGTATATATAGAATTCTATCTGACTTGAAATTTTCCCTTTCTGGACCTCTGGATGCCGAGGCTGACAGTGTCCCTGTGACAGTGCCTTCCCTGACAGGAATCAGCAACCTTTTTTTTTTTATTATTTTTTTTGCACGTGTCAGTAATTCATTGTATTTTTAAAACTTTTAACCTCTTCCTCCTAGTCCTCAAATACTGATTTGTTAATGAATTAAAACGTGTCCCTAAGTGTTTTCTGTGAAAGAATAGTTGCAAATGATGCTCAAAGAAAAGTTAAGTACATGGAAAAATCCAAAGTATATGTTTTATTCATTACATTTGATGAATTTTTTTGTTGTACTTTTTCCTCTCGAGAGGGTGTCTTGCTCTGTCGCTCAGGCTGAAGTGCAGTGGCTTGATCCTGGCTCACTGCAACCTCTGCCTCTTGGGTTCAAGCAGTTCTCTGCCTCAGCCTCCTGAGTAGCTGGGATTACAGGCACCCTCCGCCTCGTCCAGCTAATTTTTTTTTTTTTTTTGAGGTGGAGTCTCGCTCTGTCACCCAGGCTGGAGTGCAGTGTCACAATCTCAGCTCACTGCAAGCTCCGCCTCCCGGGTTCACGCCATTCTCCTGCCTCAGCCTCCCAAGTAGCTGGCACTATAGGCGCCTGCCACCACACCCGGCTAATTTTTTGTATTTTTAGTAGAGACGGGGTCTCACCATGTTAGCCAGGATGGTCTCGATCTCCTGACCTCGTGATCCCCCTGCCTTGGCCTCCCAAAGTGCTGGGATTACAGGCGTGAGCCACTGCGCCCGGCCCTAATTTTTGTATTTTTAGTAGAGACGGACTTTCACCATATTGGCCAGGCTAGTCTTGAACTCCTGACCTCATGATCCACCCACCTCGGCCTCCCAAAGTGCTGGGATTACAGACGTGAGCTTCCACGCCCGGCCCAAGTTTGATGATTTTTTTCGTCCTTTGTTCTTGTAAAAATCATGGTTAGAAAGCAGAGCATAATTGTTCTTTACATAGATCCCAACTGATTAGGGTTTTTAGGGAGATTTTTTTGGCATTCAGTAAATGTTTTTATTTTTAGTGTAGAATGTTGTGTATTTTTTTTATTATTATAAAATATTTGTAGGTTTATACATATCAAACTCCATTCTGTTTTTTTGTTTGAGACAGAATTCCACTGTGTTGCCCAGGCTGGAATGCAGTGGCACCATCTCGGCTCACTGCAACCTCCGCCTTCCGAGTTCAAGGGATTCTGCCTCAACCTCCCAAGTAGCTGGGATTATAGGTGTCTGCCACCACACCTGGCTAAGTTTTTTTTTTTTTTGAGATGGAGTCTCGCTCTGTCGCCCAGGCTAAAGTGCAGTGGTGTGATCTCGGCTCACTGCAACTTCTGCCTCCCGGGTTCAAGCAATTCTCCTGCCTCAGCCTCCCAAGTAGCTGGCATTACAGGTACCCGCCACCACTTACCTCCACCTCCCAGGTTCAAGTGATTCTCTGCCTCAGCCTCCTGAGTAGCTGGGATTACAGGTGCACGCCAGCACTCCTGGATAATTTTTGACTTTTTAGTAGAGACAGGGTGTCACCATGTTGGTCAGGCTGGTCTTGAACTCCTGACCTCGTGATCCACCCACCTCGGCCTCCCAAAGTGCTGGGATTACAGACGTGAGTCACATTTTTAGTAGAGATGAGGTATCACCATGTTGGCCAGGCTGGTCTCGAACTCCTGACCTCAAGTGATCCTCTCACCTCGGTCTCCCAGAGTGCTAGGATTACAGATATGAAGTACTGCACCCAGCCTAATTTTGTGTTTTTAGTAGAGACGGGGTTTTGCCATGTTGGCCAGCCTGCTCTAGAACTAGGTTCAAGTGATCCTCCTGCATTGACCTCTCAAAGTGCTGGGATTACAGGCGTGACCACCACACCTGGCCAGTGGGAGGTCTTCCTTCCCTTCTCTCCAGCATTCTATAAGCAATGTTTTTGGGCAATGTGTGTTCAATTTTCTCTATATATACCTTGAACCCTACAGTAGTGAAAGGAAGAGTAGACAAATATTGAAGCTGATGTGGTGTGGGCTTTGAGCTAGTGGTGCTAATTATTGTTTTCATGGCCTTCAGTGACTTCATCCTGCTTTTGCTGTTGTAAAGTGTTGTAATTTATGCTCCTGAGTATAACACTTGAGGTGTACTTAGGGTTCTTGTCTGCTTCCTGGTGACTGTCGAATCTTTTCATCTTGAAGAAGGGAGATGACCAGTGTTCCAGTGTACTGACTTTAAAGAATTTTGCATTTTTTGTTTGTAAAATTTATAGCCAGATGTAGGGTAGGGGTGGCATGTTTTCTCTAAAGGGCCAGATAGTAAATAGTTTAAGCTCTCAGTGGACCATATGGTCTCTGTCATAGCCATGGGCCCTTGAAGCTATAGTGCCAAAGCAGCCACAGATAATACTACATCTGTGGGCAGGGGAAGTTCATTCTGTAAACTTTATTTATGGACACCAAAAGGTGAAGTTCACAGAATGTTTGCAAGTCACAAAATACTGTTTTTCTTTTGATTGTTTTTGAATCGTGAAAACATAAAATACGGTGGCCGGGCGTGGTAGCTCACACTTAATAATCCCAGCACTTTGGGAGGCCGAGGCAGGCGGATCACCTGAGGTCAGGATTTCGAGACCAGCCTGGCCAACATGGTGAAATCCCATCTCTACTAAAAACAAAAAATTAGCCAAGCATGGTGGAGCATGCCTGTAATCCCAGCTACTCAAGGTTGAGGCACGAGAATCACTTGAACCTGGGAGAATCACTTGAACCTGGGAGGAGGAGGTTGTGGTGAGCCAAGACTCTGTCTCAAAAGAACAAAAGTAAAATACTTTCTTTCCGACCATACATGAAGAGGCTGTGGGCTGGGTTTGGCCCCTGAACTGTGGTTAGTGACCACACACACAGACACACACACATACACACACACATAGGGCAGTCAGGCATTTAGAGCCAGCACCTGTGTTCTCAGCTGAGCTGTGTTCCTGGCTGGGTTCTACTCTCTATTCCGGGACCTGAGGTGTCTACCTTGGTGAACTGGAGACAGCAAAGCCTGCCTGCTTCCAGGTTGTTTGTGAAGATTGAAAAGGGTCATGTTTCATTGTCAGGCCACATGCTTTGTGGAGGACATGTTAGGGCATTTTCACTTTTTTTGGTTTTTTTTTTTGAGATGGAGTCTTGTTCTGTTGCACAGGCTGGAGTGCACGGAGTGTAGTGGCGAGATTCCAGCTGACTGTAACCTCCGCCTCCCGGGTTCAAGCAATTCTCCTGCCTCAGCCTCCTGAGTCGCTGGGATTTACAGGTGGCTGCCACCACGCCCGGCCAATTTTTGTATTCTTAGCAGAGATGGGGTTTCACCATGTTGGCCAGGCTGGTCTCAAACTCCTGACCTCAAGTGATCCTTCCACCTCGGCCTCCCAAAGTGCTGGGATTACAGGTGTGAGCCACCGCACCTGGCCCATTTTCACTTTTCATTAGCTGCTTTTCCCCCCCATTTATTTCCTACCTTTCTGTGAAGGATTTCTGAATTAAATGTATTTCATGTCTTAACCTTCTGAATTGTTTGTTCTCTCATTTTCCAGGTTGCTGAGGAAAATAACAGGCTAAGCGAGACATAAAAAATTTGTATGTAGTTGCTCAGATGAGAAATAAATGCTCACCTGTTGCAGAATGGGGCTCTGCTCTTGCTTTACCCAGGATGCATTTCCTAGTTCCTTCCTAGGGTGGGGCCAGCGCTACTCCAGCCCTCCGGACCCCGCTCCCTGCTCTGGCATGATTCCAGCAGACTATATTCCAGCTGTCCTCCCAGGACCTAGATGTTTTCTTTCTTTCTTTTTTTTTTTCTTTGAGATGAAGTCTCACTCGGCGGTCCAGGCTGGAGTGCAGTGGCACAATCTTGGCTCACTGCAACCTCCACCTCCCAGGTTCAAGTGATTCTTCTGCCTCAGCCTCCCAAGTAGCTGGGATTACAGGTGCCTGCCACCACGCCCAGCTAATTTTTGGAAGACAGGGTTTCACCATTTTGGCCAGGCTGATCTTGAACTCCTGACCTCAAGTGATCTGCCCGCCTCGGCCTCCCAAAGTGCTGGGA